GGGGGGGGGAGGCTGCCCTCTGCGAACAACCTACCTCGCTGGATGTTGAGGGCCGCCAGGTCGATGCCAGAGTGGGGGATGCGCCTGTCCTCGAACAGGTGGTTGGTGATCTCGCCCGTGATGAACTGGTCGAGGTTCTCCATGGGCGTGGACACGAGGCCGCGCATGATCTCGTCCACGATGTGCGCCTGGTAGATGGCGTCCGGGTTGAAGAAGCCGTCGCGCAGGAGGAGGGGCGGGTCGATGGGCTTGTAGCTGGGGCTCATGCGGGGGATGTGGGGCCGCAGCAGCGAGTGCCCGATGCGGAAGGCGGCGGCGGCGAACTCGTTGAGGATGGCGGGGTTGCATGTGGGGCTGTAGCCTGTGGGGGCAAAAAAAGGGAGACAAACATGAGGTATCCGTTGACGAGCTGACGCGCGCGGTGAGGGCGTTGGTGTCGTCTGACCCGTGACTCACCCTTGTAGTAGCCGTGAGACTGCAGCTTGAGCCCGTAGAGGTTGACGGCGTTCCAGCCCAGGATTCGGGGCAGGAACTCGTTGTAGGAGATGTGCTGCAGCGCGGCCGACAGGATGCGGCGGCCGTGCTGGTACAGGCGCTCGTCGTCCCAGTGCGGGTTGACGGCGTGCAGCCCGTCCACGAGCCGGTTGTGCTCGCGCATCCACACGGTGTGCATGGCTGTGAGCGCGGGCTGCTCGCTGGCGCGCGCGTCCCCGGCGATGAAGCAGTAGCCGGACGGCGCCCTGCACTCGGGGTGCGAGGGGCTCTGCGGCAGCAGGTCCTTGCCGCGCACCGGGTGGATCGTCACGTTGAGGCGGCCGCCGACGAAGGCGCGCAGGTCGCGGCCCAGGCACGCCTGCTCGCCGTACACGACGCTGCCGTCCAGGAAGGCCGAGTTCTGGTTGATCTGGTCCCGGGGTCCGAGGTGCTGCTGGCCGGGCAGCGATCGCATGAAGGGGAAGCACAGCCTCTCGCCGGTCGTCTGGTTGACGGGCGGGTAGAAGTGGTCACCGGCGGGCACCGGGATGGGCATGCACTCGGGGTGCACGGTGCGCGGCGAGTCGCACGAGCGGCAGTCGGGGATGGACGCAAAGAAGCCTGCAATAGAGAAAGTAGAACGCAGGTGGTCAGTCGGGGGTAGCTTCCGCTCAGATATCGCTTGCTGAGGGGACCTTGCCATCCAACGCCGGAGTATTTTCACTCGCTTTACCGGTATAGGCTGTTTACTTACCTCGGTGTACAGGCGTGAAGGTGAGGTCGTGGTCGAGGAACTGGGCGAACTGCATGACCATGAGGGAGTAGCGCGTGTGCAGGTTGCTGATGTCGGCGTGCACCATGGTGGACACGAGGCGAGGGGAGGGCAGCGGCGAGCCCGTCACCGAGGTGAGCCTGGGCCTGGACACGCCGTTCTCGTAGGCGGGCGGGAGCAGCCGGTTGAACGTGGTCAGACTCTTGCCGAGGCCGACCTTGCGCTGGTTGTTGCAGTGCCCGCTGAAGGTGCGGAAGGGGGTGGTCGGGTCGCACGGGTGGCCGTCCTCGGCGATGGGCGCCGCGCACATGCTGGGGTCGGGCTGCAGCGGCGAGCTGCTCACGAAGGGGCGGACGTCGATGTCCTGCAGTCCGTCACCGCTCAGGATGTCGTCCCTGGTGAAGCCGATTAGGTTCTCGACGATCTGACGCCGACGACGGTTGCCGGGGCCGGCGCTCGGGCCGGTCTGCAGCGAGTTGAGCAGCTCCTCTGACGCGAACTCCAGCAGCAGCGACGAGTTGGCCATGTGCAGGGCCTGCTTGTTGGCCTTGGAGAAGGCGGCGGCGGTGCCCTGCGGCGACTTGGGGTCCACGGCACCCTCTGCGGCGGAGGAAAAGGGAAGTGAATGGGGGTTTTGAAAGTGCGCGCGTCGTGATTGTTCCGTCCGGGTCCACACTCACTGTCGGCCCACATGCGGTACTCGAACTGCGCCCGGGCGGTGAGCTCCTTCTCGGCGCGCTGCACCGCCTCGCGCACCAGGTCCTCGGGGATGGAGGCGGCCGCGCTGCGCTGGTCCTTCCACGCCGTGGACAGCTGGAGCGAGGGCTGCAGGCCGCAGGCGATGCGCACGTTGCTGTGGACATAGAGAGTCGTAGAGTTGAAGAGATACTGGAGCTTGCTTGGTGATGCGGTGGGGCGGCGGGGGACTCACAGATAGGGGTCCTCGCGAACGAAGGCTTGTGGCTGGAGCTCGGACAGGTCGGGGGTGTTGGCGCAGATGACGCCGCCCAGAGTCACCCTTCGGATCTCGTCCAGTTGCACTGTGAGCAAGGGAGGGGTGTCTCGTTAGTATCGGATTGCGAGCGAAATACGTTTCAAATACGCTCCCTGATTTCACGGTATCGACTTACCTCGGGAGAAAGACGAAGGTGGGATGTCGTTCTCGTACCAGAACCTGTCACCCGCCCGCAGGACGGAGAACTGCTCGGCCAGCAGGCAGCCCATGGTGGGCCCGAGCACCGCGCCCTGGGCGGGGGTCTCCAGGGAGGCGCCCGCGAGCAGGTCCACGTCGCCCACGCTCCTGGACGATCACAGACACAGGTCAATATGTGCTCAAACATGGACGGTGCGCGGGCTGAGTTTTCTTGCGATTTCCTCTCTCTCCACTTACTTGTATACGCTCTTGAGGTGCTTTAGGTTGTCCTCGGTAAACAGACCCTGCTGTGCGGCGAGGAAGGAGAAGTCCGTCTTCTTGACGAGAGGCGTGCCCTGGGTGCAGAAGCTCACCCAGTTGGGGTACGAAGCCAGCCCGTGGTCACGGCCCCGGTGCAGCAACAGCACGGCGGGGTCCCAGTCTGGAAGGAACGACCTGTTAGACCCGGGCGGTTCAGGTTATACACAGCCATGCGGGGCATGACGGGGTGCCCGTACCTTGGCGGTGGTCGGCGCGCGGCTGAGCGGACATGCGGAGGCTGGGCCGGAGCGCGGGCGAGCTGGTGACGGCGTGTACCATGCGCGTGAAGCGGTGCTCGTCGAGCGCGTCCATGCGGCCGGGGGCCGTGGTGTTGCTGACGAGCGCGGGCGGCACCATGGACCTGAAGGCGTGCAGCGCGGCCACGCCCACCTCGGACAGCGCGCCCGCGTGCACGCCGCTCGAGTAGCCGGTGTAGTGGCCGTGGTCGCGCGGGGTCAGGTCCCACGACTCCATCGTCACCTCGCCCAGCACGGTGGGCAGGAACTCGCTGTAGGTGATGTGCTGCAGCTGCGCGGCCACCAGTCGCCGCGCCTCGAGGAACAGCGTGTCCGAGTCCCAGTGCGGGTTGAGCGCGGCCAGGCGCACGGCCAGGCGGTTGTGCTCGCGTAGGAAGAGCGAGGCCAGCGTGGACATACCGGACCCCACAGTCTGGCACCTGCGGGCCAAGAGGACGAGGTCGGTCAGCGGGGATCAGGGCGAGATCAAGGAAAGAATTTCTGTGGTTAAACCGGAGTGACCAAAAGTACTTACAGTCTGCAGTTCTCCAGGATGACGAGCCCGCCCTCGGGGGCGCGCAAGCTTTGAGCCTCCTCGTCGGAGTTGCCGTACAGGGAGGAGGCGTCGAGGAACCCGGTGGCCACGTTCATTTGGTCGCGGTGCTCTGCGGAGAGGAGACACAGCCGTTCGTCAGGACGTCGTTTTCGACATCGCTCTTGCACGCGCGCTCGTACGCACAATATTCACATTCTCATTCGGGGCAGAGGAACCACCACTGTCCTCGCGCGCTATCCGGCGGCGCCGGCACTTACGGAAGTTGCAGTCGTCGTGCAGCGCGGGCAGCGAGCGGACGTAGTCCCTGCAGGTGGCGTTGGCGTTGGGCTGCGAGCCGGAAGTGAGTGGGAAGCACTCCGGGCCGGCGGCGGGGGCGGGACCACAGCAACCACCGCGCTCTGGAAAACGCACGGCAGATTAGCGTCCGCGAAACCGCGTTGGGGTTTATCTGCGTCGCTCAGCAGCAGCGGCCGCAGCCGCAGCAGCTCCACTCACCCACGGCCACGGGCTGCGCGATGTCCCTGAGCAGGAGCTCGCCCCACAGCGCCACCAGGGCGGTGACGTGCTCGTGCACGGGGCCACCGGCCGCGGACACGCCGCGCAGCGCCGCCACCACGCGGTCGGGCGACGGCATCGGCGGGGACGCTCTCGGCCGCGATGCGTCTGAAACAGAGAATCGAATCGTGTGAGCAACACCGTCTGGCACTGTTGGAGAGGTGAGCGCGCGCCTGGCTAGCAAGGCGTGCTCGGTGGGGCCGTTCGCAGTGTTATTGCAATTTGCGCACTCTGATGCGTGAAATGCGCCCCAAGCCCCGCAACTGCTCTGGAAGCCTATATCCTGGCGCTAGTCCTGGTGGGTGCCCGGCGGCCTGCCTACCGGCTTGTGCAATGCCGAGTGTAATGCGCATGGCGGGGTAGCTTACTGGCTCGTGCAGAACGCCTGGCGGGTGGGCGACGTGGGCGACCCGTGACCCATGAGCAAAAGTGGGCGCGCCTGCCTATACCCACTACCCGGTCGTACAGGGCGCCCGGTGGGTGGGCAACCCGCGGGCAGGCGTGCGCGGCGGGTGAGCCTACCGGCTCGTTGCAGGGCGCCCGGCGGGTGGGCAACCATTTACCGGGCGTGCGTGGCGGCCTTGCCTACCGGGTAGTACAAGGCGTCCGGCGCACCCCATTTGGGCCTGCCGGGTGCCGGGTGCGGTGCGCTGTCGAGACCGTGTGCCTCCGCCTCCTCCTCGGCGGGGATCTGTTTAGCGACAGTACACACGGGGCGATGGTGTGGGGAGCGCGCAGCCACCGCGTTATGCAAAGCGCATGGCGGGCTCGGCGGCACCGCTCAGGCCGCACGGGGGAGAGAAAGTGGTGGTGGGCCCCGGCGTCCCCGCGGCGTCCCCGGCGCGGCCCCAAAGCAAACACTGCACCCAATGACATGACACCGCCGCCGTACCCCGGCCGCCGCGGGCTCCACTACGGCAGCGGGGCCGTCGGCAAGCTCATCGCGGCGGACAATAGGCGGCCGGCCCCATCGACAAGCCGCGCCGAACCGCATACACACACACAGACACACTCGAGCCGGCTGGGGCGGCAGCTGACAATGATGGCGAATGAGTGAGGGAAAGGTATAGCGAGCGCCTCGTGCTCGTCCTTCTCCTCCGGGGCCCAATGCTCATCCGTCTGTGCGTCACAGCGCACCCATAGTTTAAGGCGCGCTCTTCTTCGCTGCGATGGGCCCTCTTCCTGAGCTGCACGTGTCGGGCCAAGCCGCGGGCGCCGCCGGCGTCAGGGCCTCGCTGTTGCCGACGCCGAGCAGCTGGGAATGGGGCCCTAATGATTTGCTTTGCAGCTGATTGTTAACCGCCTAGTCGCTCATCCATTCTTTTCGCACGGCCAACTTTCGCCCTGTCTTGCGGTCCGGTCGACTCTAGGCGAGTAGAAGAGGAAAAAGGGGGAGGGGG